TCCAAATGAGCATGTGAGAGTGAAGCGATTCCGTTGAATTTTGTGATTCTGTTGCAGCATAAAATGATTTTGTGTGACCGAAGAGTCCTGAATCCTTTCGAGAACAGCCTTGATCTGAATCCCAATTCAAAACTACATCAATAAACATGTTCATCAAGCGATCAAAATGTCTATATCATAAACCGTTAGTCTGTGCTTTTGATAGGGTACAAATGAGTTGCATCACAACTTACCTTGCACAAATGGCTGGATTAGCCGTCGCTATCGATCCCAACTTTGCTCGAGTAAACTCCAAGCATTCATAGATGCCTGCTTGCATTTCTTCAAATACATCATCTGCGACACCTCCGGCCAGATTAGCAATTTGAAAGGAGCTTGCACTGTCTGGCGAAATCGTAAAAAAAATTGTCGGCTGGCCAAGCTTCAGTTGCATCGAAAAGAGGTCTGCACGTGCTGCTGTCCGCTCATCGTTAGACCCCCAGTAGGATCGCATCCCCGTTGAAATATTACCGTATAATTCACGGACCGATCTGTTAATTTCCGGTGCAGGTGGTATGGGCAACTGATCTGCTATAGCCTTTAATCGGCTCTGCTGGTATTGGACATAGTTTTGAAGGTCTTCACAAGAAACACTAGCAGACCGCTCCATTGAACCTGGCAACATCCGAGCTCTGATTGAAATCGCATGAAGTGCGTTGTGCCTGGCTAAAACATCAAACGCAACCATGGCGAACGAGCGATGCTGGACAATGCGACGTGATGAGTGCTGCAAACAAAATCTAATGAACTCCAAAAGGCTGATCGGTATAACACGAGATTCTTCAAGGCCTCCTCGCCCGTAGGGAAACAATTCCGAGAATGAGTTCGTTCAAAACGCCGAGTCAAAATCGGACTAAATATTAGATGATCGATAGACCACTACGCGAGAATTATTCAGTGCAAGCTGAACACCGGTAAGAACGTCAATATGCCTGAAGTCACTTATCCATCCATCGGCAGTTTGCTCACACATCTCATCTTCTTCGGAAACCGATTCATGGGCAGGTGCAGGTGCGTTATGCCTCCAGGTTGCACGGTCAAGTTCCTCAGACCCATCAGTCCCTCTATATAAACTTTGCTGCGTTGGGCTTGCGACTGAGTTGGCAGGGTTCAGAAAATAGCTATTTTCATCCTGTATTGAGCAATCAATTGTTGGTAGCGTCGCTTTAGACGATATTGCGTCACCGGAGTAATTAATTTCATTGTCATCTCGGGTGGGAAGTACAATTCCTGTGCGAGACCCAGCCGGTGGGTTGAGCCGTTCGTCAGACGTCTGATCATTGTAAGAAGATATGTGTTCGCGATTACCATCGCCAGCTTGATTCAGTACGACACGCGTACGAATTGTCGCAATCGTAGTTTCCCACTCCGGTTTCACTTCCACAGATATGTATAAATGATTCTTTGCTTTGTACCAGTCTAGCTGTTCTCTTAGGCGCAAGAGGCGAACATCATATTTTTTTTTAAAGTTGCTGCTTTTTGAGCGGTCGTCATAGCCCCGTGTGAGAACGTATAGAGGAGTGTTTTCCTCCTCGAACCACAGAGATAAAATGCATCGGTTGCGAAAGATTTAACATTGCATTCTCCGTGAAAGTACTGTCGGAAAAACACATAGGCAAACAACCCATAAAAAGCCCATTGGCAACAGCAAATTTAGGCGGGTGACCTCTCTTTCTGTCCAGTAGTGATGTTCTGCACGAAGTGCACACCTGCATGGTTAGTTGTTCGTCTTTTACAACAATGCCTGATCTCGCCAACAATATCCCTGCCAGTTCAGCACTCAGACCCGACATATCGTAGTACGTTCGAAGTTCCGATGGACGTGTTTTTGGAGGTTTTAGTCGGGTTTCATTGACTGCAGAAGATACGCGCCAGAATCAACTTTTTCCACCTTGACGCGCGCCGCAGGGTGCATACAGTCACAGACACAGCAAGCAAGTTCATTTAGCAAACCACCCGAGAGATATTTGGCTCCACGTTCGGACGTACGCTTTTCCATTTCGTCAAAATGCTTTAAGAAGTTGTTAACGGCCGCTAAATTTTTGCTTTCAGGTCCAACACTGGATGTTCACCGATGCTTCCTTTTCACAAGTTGAGCAGCATGGTCACCCTCACTCATTGATGCTCGAGCTTTCTTTCATGTTTCGATCATGAGCACGCGCGTTATCCGCGAGTTGCTGAGAGCAAGCCTGGCAAAACGGTACTCAGTGAGTTAATTGTGAGCGGGTGGGTCTATTCGCCATGCAAGTACATGACACTCGCTCGGAATGCATTGTGCTTTCAAAGCAGAATGGTGCCTTTTAAGCGAAATCGTCATGTGACGGCAAAGAAAGAAACAAACAAACCATTTAGTACACCCAACAACGCGACGTGAAATTTCCAGGTGCCCAATGACTATGGATGGCTGTTTCCGCACCTAAATATCAAGGTAGGTAGGAGTCATTTCGAACGTTCGAATTACGATTCTACCACGCGACACCGCCATATTAAATGTTCAGGTTCCGCAATCACATCACTTAATGATATGCTCAAAACAAACTTGTATATTTAAGTGAAGAAACGCTTTTACGGGTCTGAACACGGATGAAACCGACAATTGAACATTACACGAGTCTGTCACGGCAGTTGGGTTTGGCACACAGGCACTTAAACCATAGTTTCTCGCGGGTATACTCCACCGTTATTTCTTCACCAGCTGAAATATCACGAATAGCAAAGATGCCTATACGAGGTCCATCGCACGATAAAAACTCGACCCATTTGCAGTTAGGCGCGCACGAATGGTTGATAAATCTGGATTCGTTTCCACACTTGCCGGCATCGATGAATATCTTGTCATTCCGAATCGTCGTTGTTGCAACCTCGATTATATAGTCGCGACTTCGCTCACTCTTGATACTCTCAAATATGAGTTCGCCGACAAACTCAAGCACAAACGATCCTTTTGCCAAGAAGGTTGACGGAGCTAGACCCAGAGCAGTACGCGTTTGAATAATGTTGAAGGAATGTGTCCGGATAAACCGATTACCGCAGCCAAGACCAATTGTACAATTTCTGTCGTCACAAAGGATCTTGGAGTGATAATTACCACAACAAGAGCCATTCTCATCGTAGCACATCTGGTGCTTGCAATCACAGGAATAATCATCTTGGGCAGGGAAAATAGGACAAGTAGCGCCGCCATTGATTAAAATCGTCCAGATTGTCACGGCACCGGGCGACCACAGCGGGTCCATGGCTGTGCTGGATTGACAGTAAATACGCGATTGAACATCTTATCAGTCGATTTGTGTTCATCCATGCAATGTCAACCTGCTCGAAGTACGGCCACATATTACACCAGGCAGACGTTGGACAGCTAATAACGGGCAACGTCCGAGGATGTAAGCCGAGCACTTCGTTGTGGGTGCCAATTCTCTATTTACATCTCCTGGTACAGTACGTGTTACCACTGGGCTGTATGAGGTCTGGTTCTCATTGGGTAGGTTCTACGGTCGATGAATTTGCGTTAAGTCCATGTGTTCGAGCTTTCGCCTAAAGTTTTGGGTACGAAACAAGAAGACGATAAATTATTCGTGTTGTTGCTGTTGCGACTTTACAGCAACGACACTCCACAGCCTTATTCATGTCAAATCTCGAGCTATCTGCGTCACTGCTCGAAGTCACTCGTCTGATACGGAATCGATAAACTTTCACAGAAGCGTCATAGCGTTTTCGTTCTCCCGCTGATATCCCTACAGCATTGCTGTAATTTTGTATGCTCAATTTCGTCAATCCCCAATACTACATGTTTTATCGATATAATGCATCATCCAATATCAGGCAAAACTGGTTAAAAATTTAAGAAAGAATCATAGTTGGAAAATTTGCTCGTTCATTCTTGTACAGTAATGGAAGTGGTGATGCGTGGTACATGTACATCGGTTCTGTATTTATCAGCAAACTCGTGTCATCCCCGCCACCCCCCCCCCAACACGCACACAGACACAGGCAAACACAAGGGCACGCATAGAATACTAGCTGCAACGGCAAGGTAAATATTTGAACAGCCTACCCAGCTCACTTTTTAATTGTCCACAAGAAGTATGGAGCTGGCTGATCTTCTTCGATCCAGGATCAAGCGCAAACAAGAAAAACGCCCACCAGTATACGAGAAGACCCCTGACATCGTGGAAATGCTACGCAAAGTCACTGCCGTCAATCCGCCAGATTCGACGTCCACGCCCTCAGAACCCGCCAAAATGCCACCGTACATCGGTTTGGATATGTACATCGCGTTTCGAGAAGAGTTCGCGAGTGGCTGGAACATCTGGCTAAGTATCGAACAAGTTACGAAGTTGGAGCCGGAACTGAAACAGGAGATGCCGTCAATGAGCTTTGACGAGAAGGCAGCCATGTTTTTTCGACTTTCGGTGTGGACCAACAAGAAGCAAGACCCCGACGTTCAAAACTTCATTGAGACCCCCGATGGAGCGGAAGTGTACGTCGAACGAGTGACGGGGCTGGCCTTGTTTGAAACAAAATGGCTCAAGGCAACACGAATCGCATCGAGATGGTCACAAAAGTCTAAGACACTGATTCCGATCTCGAGAACACCTCTCCTCCCGAAGCTGAGAGTCAAGGCACGGGAAGGCAACCAAACTGACGCCGACGCGCCACGTGGATGCTCCCCTTTGTTCGCCTAAATTGCCAAGGAAGCTCAGAGCTGGGGAAGACAAACCGGGAGGTCGTGGAGCCTGGAACAGGCGAGGAATGCCTTCTCGCACAACAGCCAAATAAGGCACGAGCACCAAAGAAGCCGAAAACGGAGTAAGCTCGCGGTTACGTCACCTGACTGGTAGGCACTAACAATCTATCTGGACAAGGATTGCTGTACACCATTTAACAAATATATGATGTCTTGTTGTCTCTTTAAACATCAGTAGACCCGCGCACCGATACGAATCGGCATGCCAAGTTTGTTAGCGCTCTTTATACTCACAATGAATCGACGTTAGCAATTTACCACTTACAACTTCGAGCTCGACGTTGTTATATAGGTACAAGTAGTATGAGGCCTTGGACAGACGCCGTACAACATCCTGAGGTAAGTAAAGCAATAACGCAAACGGGTTGAAGGTCGAGTAGCGTAGAATGTGTCCTTGGTGCTGGAGCAGCGCAAAACTGCTACCGAATTCACCGGTGGTATATCCAAAATCACCACCAGTGGCAGGTGCCCCAAAAGCCGACGAAGCAGCAGGCGCAGCACCACTGCTTGTGGCCGGTGCGCCGAATCCTCCAGTGGCAGGGCGTGCTGCACTACTTCCAAACAGATCACCGCTTGTGGCGGGAGCACCAGGCTGCGATTCAAATCCACCAAAACCGCCAGTTGTTGTAGACGCCGTAGCTGAGCCAAAAGCGAACGATCCAAAGCCTCCTCCACTAGAGGCAGCACCGAATGCAGATGGCGGAGTGTTACCAAAGCCTCCTGTCGCTCCAAAGGCTGAACTCGTTGCTGGTTGCGCTCCGAAGCCTCCGACCGCTCCAGTTTCAGTCGTCGTAGCTCCGGGTGTCGGAGAATTCTGCGTGGCTGCCGCCAGTGCTGCTGCTGGGTTCGTGCGCTTCAAGTAGTCTTCATACCTCTGCGATCCAAATAGACCGGGAGACAGACGCCGTATGTGTGAATGAGTGACGTTGTAGTTTGAATGTATTTAATGAGTGACGTTGTTGTTTGAATGTTATTATTGAATGTTACTCAAGTGTTCTATTGCGCGAATGTCGTTCTTCACCGACTGGGTTAGCATTCAGCCATTGTAGCATAACGTTTTAGTAATTATTCAGTATTGCGTCATTATTGTACCTGATTTGTTATTAGTAGTTGCAATCTATCAAGTACAGAAGTACGATCTTATGCGTTTTTATAGGATCCACGACGGTTCTGGAACCCACCTAAGACTCTGGATATAAATATCCAGAGAATAAATAGCAATTTAACATAAACATAAATAACTGGGTGTGCTAATTACTAGAGAATTGTGCTGGTAGTGCTTTTGGCGTAGTGCTTTTGAATTTTACAGTATCTGCAATCGTATTCAGATAAAATATGTTACCACACTAAACTCCACCACCTCTTGATTTTTTAAATCTGTTTAGGAAGGTAATTCGATTTGAGCGAGATTATCATTTTCTATCACCGAAAAGATTGTTTCTCACAATCACAATTTCTCAGCGAGCGCACCTGCTGCGGCGACCAGCACCGTCGACGCGGCAGTGAGTGAGCTGCTGCGGTTATCTTCGCTCTATCCACATGATACGTCTACTCTTTTACTTATCTTCCACTTATTTACCTATTTACACTCTGCTCGGTGAAGTTCTGGGCCAACCGAGACCAACACTAGCGACGCCCGCGGCGACTGGCCCGATACGGCCCTAACGACACATACGAGCGAGCCCATCACCTCGCGAAAAATACTGGCAGAGCTCCGAAATCACCGTGTCCAGGAGTCTCAGCGTCTCGATGCTGCGTCAAGTGGCTGCAGTGAGGCGTTGAAACCACTGCTACTTCAAGCAAGCAAGGACGAAAGGTAGACGGATGATGTCGCGCTGCCTGTCGGCGCTACGTGCTCTCATTGGACTGCCAGTCTGCAGATCCTATCTTTCTGCCCCGACAAACACCTCAACGGCCTCGACAGCTACGTTTACAGACTTTTTATAGTAATTAAGATCAGCTATGAATAGTGATATTCTTGCACAATACCTAGCCATCTATAGTGTAAGAAAATCTGAATAAAGTTAGATAATCTAAGCAGACAAAATCCTAGCATTTACTTCGAGGAGTAAAGTGAGCTATAATTTGTATCGTGCACCAAGTTTCTATCAGTTTATACCCATGCTAAACCTTTACTGCCGAGTGAAATTTGTGAAGTTTGTACGAATTGGTAGGAAAATAATACCTTCTCATTTGAAATTTGTATCGAATCGATACAGTACAAAATTGTCGCTGTGGTCATATAGAAGTCCCCCTCAATAAGCGTACGGGGTCGTCTGATTAATTTGCATAGTGAATTCTCAGCGCTCTTGTGATTTGCCAAATGTATTCATAAATCCATGTGATCCGATAAAAAGGGGTATATGAAGAACAAGCTACGCTTGTTCAGGGGGGATTTCTGAATAGCGTCAACTGTTTACGCGATCGAGTACTACTTTAACAGTGACCGCAATACTCCGCTATCATATTATGTGCACACACCAATAGCAATCCGGATTATTTTCGATGATGTGCTATTACAAACCATTTATTAAAGAGAGGAAGGGGTGAAAAAATGTGTGAATCAGTAAATTAACGACATTTACTACAGTAGTTACCGTAAAAGAGCCTTACTGTACTTGCCATACGGGCAGTCCAAAAAAAGCTTTTGATACGGAACACTGGCTCAATACTTAAAGAAATTAGAATTTAAAAAAGCATGCAGGGCGAACAAGACTTCGATCCGTAATCACTGCCATAAGGTACAGTATATTTAGTAAATGTAATTGCTCCCCACCAACCGTAAAAGTCCTTGACAATTGTGGGATTTCGCCAGCCCTCCTCGTGGGCTTCAGCACATGTTTTTCGCTGTTAGACTGCCAGAAACCCACAGCTCTTAAGACCTCTATTATTTAAAAGCTAAACCCTTTTCATGGTGTGGAAAGCGGCTTTTCCGGTGATTTGATCCCTCCCACCTTCTGTCACAACCCTGGTGTTACGATCCCTTTTCACCGGTGTCGAAATCTCTCCTCCTTTTTCATGTCCATAATGGCGAGGTACCGAAATCGCCACTATGAAAGGAAAAAAAAACTTGAAGTACATGCAGTTGCTATCGTATAGACGAAATGGAAATGCGATGTTGCTCTTACAGTAGCAGAATGGTTATGCTAGTAGCATAACCATTCTGGCCAGAAGCTTGTACTGGTAGCATAATCATTCCAGATGTTGCTTATAGCATAACATTCTGGCGAGATTTGCAGCATAACCATTCTGGCGAGACCTGCCAGAGTTAAGCTAATGTCATTGTCAAAATGCAGCGACATATTTGTTTAACTCATTTGCAATGATTTATTCTCCTGTCAATACAAACCCCGCACATTATTCTTTTTTATGGCGATCAGTACGGCAATATTGTGTTTTCAAAATCTAGCTATAATTATTAAATGTAGCCCCCTACTGGAAGCCGTAAAAGTCAAGAATGATTTGAGCGCAGAAGAGAGCTGGATTGTTACGCTTGAGACAGCTAACTATTAATACCTCCGACGATGCACTCTGCAGGATAGCTGCTCGGACTTGGATCAAGCTCAGCAAGTCTATTATGCTTTTTTATAAAAATTGCATTTTTTTAAAACAAAGTACATGCATAACAGGAATATAAATATTTAAACAATACAGTCGTGCACCTCGTATTCGGCGGGGTGGACCATATAGAGTCTACGAGCTGCGAATATATATAGAGGAACAGATGGAATCCAAATGTACTTCTTTGTATTACCTTAATTAAGTATAAATCTCAATTACATCTTCGACACCATACCAGTGTGATGGCCAACCTTCTGAGCACCACTTCATCGCTGTATAAATATTGACGGGGGTATACTTCTCGCCTTTGTAAAACATGTCCAGCTCGGCCTCCTACTTCTTTGTACAGTAGTGGTCCTTGAGACTTTTAATAATCCCTTGGTCAATTGACTGCAAGGCACCGGTTGTGTTGGGAGAAAGCTAGTGAACAACGACATTAGTTAACTCAACAGGTTCGTCGCTATGAGACGACACTCGTCGGACGAGCGCTGCGAAGCCGTGCAAAACCTTTTGCGGAGAGAGTGAGCATTCAGGACGTCTTCGTGTCCCTCTTGCGCTTTAGAATGCTTTGGAGGGTGGAGCGCTTTACGTGGGTTTGAAACTCTTGTGTGGCCTACTGAGTGAGCTGAGACTGTGTCCATGATGGCTCTGTGGCTGCCTTCCTGCACAATGTTTGCTTATTGGCGAGATTCAACGTAGAATAGGCGGACGGGCGACGTGTCATGGCGTTTTGCGACAAAATTTATAATGAGCTGTGATATGGTGAAGTGATTGAGCTGATACATCGTGGCGGAAGTGCGGCATTTCATCCCTCCTCGAGGAGGGGAATACCATTGAGGTTATTTGGTCCAAAGGAGATGGGCAACTCATTTGCGCAATGCATGTGACGCAATCATTAGATTGTGCAGGTTATTAAGCCATACCGGGGCCGAAAACGAGGTGCACGACTGTACTGTAGCATGATGGCTTACAAAATGTAAGTACAATATAAATCAAATTCGGGCTAGCCTATTTATTACAATAATTGGTCAAATACCACCAGTCAACATACTTTTAAGTATTTTACTGAGCATGAAAAACTAAAAAAATAATGTTTCGAAGTAGCATATACGGCATTAAAATTCTCTGTACCGCTCGCCATACAGATTACGACGTACAACACCACACAACAAGCTGCCAATTGATCGCAAATTGCGATTCGCAATAGAATCTGGAAATGATCATGCTGCTGTCAGTCGCAATGCCACCGTAGTGTGGTGATATTGCGGTCCGCAGGCACAGCACATGGATACCGATATTTACTGTATTCAATGGCAATGCATAATCATCGCCCGGTAAGTTCCTCAAACGTACCGTACATTGGAGCTTTTTACAGTGAAGTCTACGGTGAGCACATCATTAGATAGCTGGAGACTTCAGTACAGTTCGTCTTTCAGCATTTCAGAGCCATGAATTCTACCGTGAGAGTATCGTTTAGTTGTAACAATGATGATGACACAAAGATATGCACGCTCATGATCGTGGCTTCTGAGAAAAAGTAAGATGCGGAATGTTCAACCTCGATGAGGAAGGACCAAGAACACATTTGGTGAAGGTTCGACTCTCACATTACAGTTTGCTCAGGAGCTGTCAGCTGCAAACACCCAGTGCACCCATGCGCCTCGCCCACGTCTTCGCTGTGATCGCTGCAGCCTGTCTAGTTTCCAGTGAAGCCTTCGCTACGAGTGACAAGAAAGCCAAGACCTCAAAGGCAACTTTACTTGATGCGCCAGGTCAACGACTCCTGAGGGCCCACCGCGCTGCTGATGAAGATGAAATTGACTCCGAAGAGAGGGGTCTCACGAAAGAACACTATGAGTTACTAGCCAAATACGCTAAGGAATTGAAGATTGACGTGGCGAAAGCTGGCAAGAGCACTGCGTACTTGAATGACCCTGAGGTGCGTGAGAATTACGCAAAGTATCGTGCGTATCTGGATTTTTTTATCCAAGGTAACAGGAAGAAGGGAGAGCGGATGGTCACGTATGAGCATCACGGATAATGCGACACATCTACGGATTAAGCAACTTAAGTCCTGAACAAGCAACATGTGAGTCGCAAGAATTGGAGATTACTGGGGTTGTTACGCTCTACAAATACTTCAATAGTAGCTACCAGAAGAAAATAAACTTTGCGATTTTCGTTCCTCGATTCCTTTACTTTTCGATATTAAAACTGCCCCTTCAGCTGCTTCAGCTATCGACGTCAGCAAAACTGGATCAGTTTTTTTTTCTTCGTGTAGTTTGCGATAATATCGATAATATCGCAAATTACACGAAAAAAATAAAAACTATAGACATATTATGTCCATGGTTTAGACGCTAAAAACGATGACCCTCAAAGTCTTAGCTAGCAATTCCCTTTTTATAAGTAGATCGCATTTGCTCCTGTGGTGGAGTATACACGACAACATGATGGTGCAACTATCAAGTGCTGGGCTCTAATTTTCTCGATCGAAGTGGATAACCGAGCTGTAGGCAGAAACTCTAGCAAGGGGGGGGGGGTAGGAAAATCGTTGTCGTCGGTATCCCCTGTGGGACAAAACGTAAAACCTGGCCCTAATGTGACAAAGCTGTACTTGGGTTTTGTATTGAAAACAATGTTTTTGTCAAGAGCGATTTTTAACCTGCCTCTTTTGTCTCTTAATGCACGTTTTTGACCAAACCTATTGGTGAAGCTGTGTTCAGCAACTTTCGATTGGTTCCCTTCCCGTCCAAATCAGAGCAACATTTAAAAAAATCGTGTGGTCGTCCCTGGCATAAATCCCAACAAGCTTGGCTGGTTAGGGACAGAATCATCTAAATAAATGTTTTTAAGGCCAGCAATTACTGAATACGAATATTCAAGCGTTAAATTAGAGAGGCATACCTCGTAGTGATGAGACAGAGGCGTAGGGCCAGGTTATCGTCACCTAAAGCCTTTCACCAGACTGATCCACTGATACATGTCAGCACGTATTTTGGCCTAACTGAAGTCGTCGTAGTCGACAAAAGGCCTTCAATATGTGAGCAAATTATATTCACGTTCAGTGTTTCATATCGCGTCCCTTTTGCAAATCTCACTAAATTACGAGCAAATTAGCCTCCACCACAAGGCTCCGCCTATGATATAAACACGGTAGCAAGGCGTGTAAATCCATAGCTCGATTCAACGCCATCCGCTAAACACTTTGATACTTCGGTTTGGTCGTTGAAATATCTTCCGTTCATTTTAAGCTCGTATTCGCACGATCACTCGATGTATATCCGGTGGATACTAGAATCATTTTTTTGCAGTAAAGAAATTCGTGGAAGTCCTCTCCAAATACTCTTAATCCTGGTATTATAGTGCAACGGTACGTTGGACGGACAGCTCTAAAATAATTAATTTGGCCCCTTTTAAAGCTGTTTATTGTGTTGATAAAAAAAAACTAAGTGATTAGGTCCTGTATTTTCATCTTTATCTTCGGTTTATTAGTTATTGACAGGTACCCCTCCCCCCAAATTAAGCATACTCCGTCACCAAAGGATACACCGGATCCTTGGGGTTCCTAAGGGTCTTAGAACCCAAGCGTGTCTGACGCTGCTTGTTCAACTCTTCCAGGACGTCCTTGTCCAAGACAGAGGAGGGGCTCAACTCCTCCCGAGTGGTCTCAGGTCTTATGAGCACCATCTCTGCAATCTTCCCAGACTTGAGCTGACCTGGAAAGACTCGCCATAGACGATGTGATAACCCTCTTCCACCGGCTGTGTCGGAGGATCCCGGGTCCTGGACTTCGAGTCGCTTGAAGCGACGTCGAACTGAACAAAGTTCAGGTCCGACTTTTAGCGGCGGCGGCGGCGTCGTCGACGGCGACGTGGAGCTTTCTTACCCACGTCTGGGGATGTCGGAGCGCTGACATCCGGGTCGCTCGAGGTCTCGTGTGGTACTGTGTTACCCACACAGGAAGCGTGTCCGACGTCTTCCGCTTCAGTAACGGTCTGGGCGACCGCGTCTGGAGCTGTGCTACCCACACAGGAGGCGTATCCGACGTCTTCCGCTTCAGTTACGGCCTGGGAGACCGCGAGTGGCACTGTGCTACCCACACAGGAAGCGTATCCGACGTATTCCTCTTCAGTTAAGGTCTGGTAGACCGTGTGTGGAACTCTGTTACCCATCTTAAGAACGCTCTTATCAGCGTTCGTGACAGCTGTCTGTGGAATTATGTTAGCCGCTTGCGGATCTAAGTTATCCGTTTGGCCGGCGCCTTCTAGCGCCGCCACCATCGATGCGTCCTCGGATTTGTCATATAGGTCGACGACTCCCAAGCATCTGCTGGATGCTTCGGTACCCTAGCACCCATTACGGACGACTCGGGTCCTGACAGAGGTGAAAACATGACTCACCAATGACTTCGCAGGCACCGATTGCCTTGCCTCGCCAGTCGATCCAGAGCTCGTGTTTCTCGATCCAGGGCATGCCCAGGATCATATCGTAGGGATCCACGTCGAGAACAGTAAGCTATTCGAGGCTGTCAAAGTCCTCATACTTGACGGCCAGATCCGCTTGGACGTTGGGAACCGTGGCGACCTTCCCGTCGGCCAGTCGCACTGACACCGTTCCGTTGCCCTTGCTTTCTCTCAAAGCATCGGACAACTTGTTGCTTTTACGAGCAACCGTCTGGCGGCGTGCACAATTCTTCGACGCCCCAGAATCGATCAAGATTCTAAAGGGGTGATCATATCCCCGTACACTTCCGTGTACTACGAGCAACCCGCCGCTGCACTTCGCCGATTCGAGATTGCGAATACTCTCAGGGGCTAAGTCCCCGTGGTACGCGCTACCCGCGCACCCCTCACGAAGCCTTAGTTCTTCCCCAGTAGGGCGGCCCGCCCCTACTGGTCTCCGGCGTTCCCCTGTCCTGGCTTCTTCTAGCGACCCTTAAGGATGGGCTTGGGGAAAGTCCGCATGCGGTGTCTCTCGACGGGGCAGTCGTGCTTGACGTGGCACAGCTTCCCGCAGCCAAAGCAGCGAATGTCGCGCTGCTCGGCGGACCCGCGTTATATGGGAACTAGACCGTTGGAGTTTGTTCGACCGGGATTCGCCAAAGAATTACCAGACCATGCTGAGGCCGGCGTCCGCGCCTGTTGATGGCTGTATTCTTCCTGAACAGTCACTTGAATCGCCTCTTCGAGGATGCTTGACCGCACCCTAAATAGCTGAGTGCGCGCTAAGCCCACGCAAAGGCCGTCCATGAACACAGTCATCTTAACGTGTTCGTTGAGTGCGTTCCTCACTAGGGATGCCGTGAGCTCCCGTATCTCTTGGACTTACTCGTGCAGATCGCGCCCTCCTAGCTTGTATGATAGGAAGTGCGAACGCCGGCGGTACTCGTAGTTCGCCGGCAGGAACGCGGCTCGGAGCTGTTCACAAAGCTCAGTTCAGGATGTGAAACATCCAAGGGATGTCGCCTCCCGCGTGTACACCCAACGCTTAGAGCGACCGCTAATGCTGGAGAGTACAACAGCAAAACGGAGTTGCTCAGTCGAGGTCAGAGCCGCGTCCATCGCAAGCTCTACCTCTCGAACCCAGAAGTGAAGGTTATCACCTTCCTTCCTTTCATACGGCTTAGCCTTCAGCCGTATTGGCTTCGGGTGCGGCGTCTGCAGGCTCTCCCGCACATGCGTGATGAGCCCCGGCTCGTAAGCGTCAAGCGCATTGACGCGATTGAGCCGCTCGGCCGCTGTTGATGCCACCAGACTCTGCAGAGCCTCCATTCCGAAGATGCCAGCCATCTTCCGAACTGACTCGAACTGAGAGTCGCTCAGATGGGGGAAGCCGTTCCTATCCTTTGTAGCGAACGTCAGAGAGGTTCACGTAGTCTACCCGCGTTGGCGTGGCTTGGCAACAAGTGCTACCAAGTGTGACGGGGTCACACAGCACCTCGCGCAAGAGGAAGTTAGCTTCCGAGAGTAAATATATTTATAGGTAGGCTATCCTTGAGTTAAATATACAAACTACAAGTCACCTTTAGAAAAGCAATGTCGTCTGCCAATGGCTGGCCTCGGACGAACCTGGTACCATGTACCAAATATTCCGAAGTATGACATACCACACTTCATGTAGCTAGGGGTACGTACCCTGTTACAGCCGTACTACAACTAGGTCGGATGACATGTCCTTTTTGTTGGCTTGGTGACCATTATAATTTAAACTTCACTATTTTGGAGACAGTGTCAAAACAATGTTATCTGGTACATTGCCAATTGCTTTTAACCTCTAACAATTTGCGTGTCATCCATAGGATGGGTGAAGGTACAGCAATTGGGATTAAACAGTAATATACAGATATAATAGTCGGTGTCGATACCATTGTAATACTCGAAGACCTTGAATACGCCTTATGCTGCGTTGGCGTCGGGTTCCTGTTGACAATCGGTCTAACTGTCCTAAATAAAAGTTATTAAACTATGGTTTACGCGCGTTTGGACTATACAGGCGGTACAATCAAACCAACGAAGTTGTTCTGCGCACGAAGAAGTTCTAATTTTCGAGCGGAGTTCGTGCCGCTATACTTCTTCGTTATCGACTTGGTGACGGTATGTAGAATTTTAGATTAGGAGGCAAACCCATACAAAACAAAAAAAGAACAGTTCTCAATTTTACCAGAAATCGGCTTTGCTTTCCTATTTCAGTATTCTATACTTTTGGACAAAAGTATATTTAATCTAAATGAAACGTATCTTACGCCTCCCCGTACACGTGCGCTAACGTGTAAGCCGAAGTAGTGGGCTTTAAGTAGACCCATTACAGGCATACACCACCTGATTTTGTGTTCGCGCCAAGCGATTTTCATCAAGAACCTGTGAGTGCCTACAAACATGCTTGTGCCTCGTAAACGTTGCTATAATATCGATCGAGCTGGGCTACTTCATCCTTCCCACACTAACATTTCATAAGACCGAATCTACCGTGTTCGTGCTTGTTTTTCTCGGGAGCAACTGAGAAAACCAATCGTCCGCATTTACACGCGGTTCAGGTATAGCTCCTGTTATTTGTTCGTGCTACATTCGATAATATTGATTGTACTTTAAGCGCGAGGGCAACGACACAGGTAACATTTGTATTGTTAATAAACCAGCACAGGTATAAACAGCAGAGCTATAACTTTCCGGTATAGTACGTACCCTTATGAATTCATGGTTATTTTCAACACCCAGACTATTTGGTTTTGGAAATTGAAACACCAACCGGACACCCCTCCCCGCTCGTTAGCACTGAAATAATTTACAGAGACTTTTTTACACAATTTAGGGGGATACAGCAGGTATGGTGGGATGGACACACTACTACAGTACGTAGTATTCTAAATTGCAGAGAAGAAAAACGTAAGAAATTATGTAAACCAGTGGATTCACTGTTTGTTTTTCTAACGAGTGGCTGCTGAAATAACAGCACTGAAGATAACTTGGAGCAATAATCAGCAATTTGAAATCCAACTTTGGATATATAGTCCTTAGGTTAGGCCCCAAGGCTTCATCTTCTCGCACTGACATCTCTCGACTTCATCGATTAATATATGTCATTGACGGAAGTGTAATTCCAAGATCGTAATTTCAAGCCAAGCCATCGCGGTACGACGCAATACGTATTTTTATTGGAGCATTGTCTATGTAGCATCAAGAGCGACTGGGTAACATAATCTAGCTCCATGTATCAGTAAAAAAAATATCGGGGGGGGGGGGGGCATGTCGCGACAAATACCGGCAGTCCTACCATATTTCTTGCAGCCCACGAATACATATCCGTGCGAAACGACCGGATCCCAACGGAGTTTGGACGGCATTTTGCACTCGGATCAGCGAGCCTGTTGATCTAGAAATTGCTATCATATATTTTAAATCTAGGAAACCCTGCTCTAAACCCTGCTCTAGGCTCTAGAGTCTGAGCTGCCTCGATTACACACTGCGGAGTGTGCACATCGTGTAGACAGCGTCGAAGTACGACTCTAGTATGGCGTTCTGTGCGCTTGAAAGTAAGTAGCGAAGTGAGTAGATCTATTGAGTGTGAGTTTTACCATTCTAGTCCTTCACCACTGGAGATCGCGCCCTGTGGTACCCCCCCTTCTTTATGCAGTGCGCTGTTGACGCAGCCGATAATGCAGTGCTGCTGTAGACGCGACTGAACATGCAGACCTGCTGTTGACGCACTTAATCTGCCAAAAGTCGCTCCTCATGCCGGTTGCTGCTGGTGTAGACCTGGTTAATGGGGCTGATCACCGCTGTACAATATTTCACCTTTAGAAATTATTTGTGCACTTTGACATTGATACTTTCACGAGGCAAGCTGTTTTGCTCTACGAGCTAAGATTACAACATATTACTTCGCCAATTACATGCTTGTTTTTCACTACTCCTGACGGAGACAAGTTAAGCGAAGATCGAGGTAAGCATGCAGTCACGATGGCCAAGCTCAAGCTTCGGCCGTCTCGGTCGACATACAGTTGATTGGAAGATATTTTGTGTGAGCTCGTCGTTAGAGGCGCCTCCACAAATACTACGCGGTCCTATGTATGTCAATTTTGAGTATTCAAACGAGCTCGCAAAACCATGTGGACTATACTTTAGCGGAAGTAAGTTGGTGTGTGCTGCAGCAAACCCGCACGAGGTATCCACGGAGCAGCCGGTCGAGTCTCACTTCTCAATTAATCACCTAATCATTTTCATCGCACTATTAGGTATTAGAACATGACATTCAGATTTATTAATGCAAACATGTTACAGGGAACACGGCAGCTTTTTCTCTTAGCTCTCTTCGCGATAAGCTATAACCTTTTCTCCTCAATGGGCAAACCCGTTTGCTTAAAAAAATACCGGTATGATAAAAACCTGTTTCTAAATGTAAAGAACACAGGTAGGACTACTAATAATTGAGATGGGTACCACAGTAGAAACTATATCGTATGCGACTTACACTGAGAATACCTGTTTACGTGTTAGCGCTGATGTTTGTTTTGCTGTAAGTACTGGCCCAGGTAGTGCATTTGAGCGCAGGTATAGAAACCGAATGACGGCTCTTTTCTAACCAACACATGTTTATAGTATCATTCCTCACGCCGTACATCAATAAGTTTTTATTAAACTTTTTATGCTGTGTGACTTTGACTGCATAAATATGATTTCAAGTTCCCAATCAAATTCGTCCTACGAACAAGGACCAAAAGTCGTTCGGATATGGCGAAATTTGTGCACGGTCGAAGCAGTTGTAACGCATTGGACGGTCAAATGGACCATTACAAAGCCGATAAGGACAATGCAAGGATAGACGATCACTTGCAGCTGCAGTGTGACAGGCTGGCTGGTCCAGTGGACCATGGTGTAGCCAGTCTAGACGAGGATGGGATGCATGAGTGGAACTTGCCGTGCCGGGCGATTACGGCAGGGTTGGATTTTGCCGCGGCAATTCATCTAAGATTTGCAAAAAACCAAGTCGCCAGTCGCTCGTCGATTGAAAAGCCGAAGAGCCTTGCATACATCCCCTATACATCACAATGAGCCTTCATATAGGAATTATACCTATACTATACACCCTTGTTCACAGCCCCACGTTGTTCACTCCAGAAGAATGGGACGAGCCCAAAGCTTCGAAAGGCAGCAATTTGTCGCCACGCGGTTACAGAAGAAAGGCAATAGGCCTCAGATCATTTGCAAGCACTGCCTAGCAGCTTTCCAGGACCCGGTGAGACCGGACGCACCCAACCCCACTGCTCTAGTGGCGCGCGATACAAATTACAGAAGTCATCTGGCGCGTTGCCAATACTATAAAGAAGCATTGGACCGAGGAGATGTGTCAACACCACAGCTTCAGCAGTCCATTATTCAGCATTTCGTGCAAATGAGTGCATCCAATCAAGCGCCAAGTCTAGCTCCAAGCTCGGCGGCGATTTCCGAGTCGAGATCGAGATGCCTTTCTGACTACGCTTCTTCTACAAGTACTGATAAGCGCCAGCGGGGGATCCGTGAGTTTTTCAACAGCGTATATACTGGAGAAGAGCAAGAAGAATTTGAGCGCCTTCTTATCCAGTTCCAAGCAGACAATTCGTTACCAGATCGCTTTGTTGAGAAGCTCTCCACAATACGTCTGTTAGTATTTCTAAACCGAGCATGCGAGAAAGCTCTTCCCAAGCGAAAGAGTATGGGACGGCTTCTAGATAAGTACATCAAAGTCGAAGAAGAGGGCCAGGTTGAGGCGCTCAAGAACCGCCTCGCGTTCAGTGGCGGGCGACTCAATTTTTTATCGGACGTGTGGATGAATGTTGTAAAGTTGCATTTGCTTGGATGCATGCTCGCGCTTTTTGGGACAATTGTTACGTATGGACTTTTTCCGACTGGTTCGAGGCATGATGGTCTTGCCATCGCTCAACAAATGGAGAAAGTGATAAACGAAATCGATTCAAAAAATGAATGGAAGATAGGAGCTGTGGTTACTGACAACGCTGGCCAGTGTGGTCGTGCACGCCGCATTCTAGCGTGCCGCCGCCCAGACATTGCATATATCCACTGCTTTGCGCACGATACTAACAGCATTGTGAAAGCTGTCCTGAACTCCTCATTTCGTAAGCTCACGAAGCAAGCATCACTTGCTACCGTAACATTGAATGCATCGTCTTCAAAATGGCTAGTTCGCGCGCATGAAGTCATTACAACAGTATACGGCAAGTCACTGGGTTTCATCAATCTCTGTGAAACTCGTTAGAACAGTATGTAAGGGTGCTTTGCATCACTTTTGCGTATTCGAAGTGCACTGATTCAATTTTGGGCGAAGTACCATAACGATAATGATTTCCCGCCTGCACTTGAGATTTTTGGCGACCCAGCATTTTGGCGATCGCTTGTAAGAGCTGAAGAGGTAATCCGGCCACTCTCAAATGTATCCTACAAGTTGCAGCGTGACGAAAACTCACTTGCAGATGTTGTAATTTCCTATCGTGATATCTATCGTGGGTTTCTGGGGAACTTTGAGAATTTGGACCTTGTATCGATCGTGGAGAAGAGATGGCAACAGTGCGAGCAGCCGCTAATGCTGCTAGCACTTTTCCTACATCCGTCGCATGTTCGTGTAGCTGTAGCCATCCATACTGAAGAACCAGAGCTGCGTTTCCTTGAAAGGTTGTGCGGATATGCCACCTACTACCACCGGCGGTACGTCGACAACAACATCGTTGGAGTTTTATCAAATGATCTACATGACTGGTTTTGTGGTGCGTTCGTCAGCTGTGAAATTGTGCGATTCAATGGAGATGTAGGAAAACACTGGAGCTTTGCGCGTACCATCAGACCACACTCAAAGCTGCCCAGGCTCGCTTCAGTCATTCTTTCTATCGCTGTCAATACAGCGACGTGTGAACGGTACTTTAGCGAGCTAGCCGCAATCCATACAGCACTGAAAAACAGAATGTCCATTGATAAGGCGCGTAAGTTTTCACTAGTTCGCCAAGGTATTCGCCAGCTTGACAAAGAATACAACCAAGGGGTGGAATGCTGTAAAATCAAACGTATTGTTGCTGCCTCAGAGCGAACGCACGTCGCTAACTGTGATACTGTTCCTCCTATCACTCTTGAAGAACTAGAAGAGAATCGAGCCATCGTGAGGCAGGATACTCCAGGTTTAGATACGACTGAATACTGGCAGGATATTTTCAATGTGTTAGATGGAGATGAATTAACGAGCGACGAAAACTGTACTAGTAGTACACAAAACGAAGAGCTGGAGCAAAACGTGTGTGCTGGACTCGAAGACATTCCAGAACCAAATACCACAGAGTTTCCGCAGCGCAACGATAAGACATTTCCACAAGAAACAAAGCTCACTGGTATTTGAGGCCAAAAGTTCAGTCTCAAAACACTTTCCCCATCAGAACGAACGTTTGGGTTGACGCCTTACGTGACTCGATTGCAGCAACGCACGTAAGAATTTAAGAATATATGTTTGCTGGTGCATTAATGAAGAATATATGTTTGTTGGTGCATTAATGAAGATTGCTCGATCTGATATCGTTTCTTCAATCGATACAGCCGTAGCTCGCTTTACCATAATGCTCATCGTCGTGAAAATCGGCATTATTAATTCGCTGTACGTGTACGACCGGACCAGCACTTCGTTGCAGCCCCATCGTAGCATACAACAGAACAAGAAGCCACGTCAGCTTACACATGCTACCAGGATGCCTTCAAAATAATCATCTCATCAGGTCCAGTTCCTCTTCATCACCATGTTCTCGTTCTTCTCCACATAGTTCCCGCGTCTTTCGTCTCACCAAAGCTTTCTCATCTTCTGTCGTCGACGATGCATTTAAGAAACAATTGTCATGATACCACACTCGGATCTCCAGTACTTTTCCTCCAGCCACCTTGTCCCCCGACGCCCTCCGCCAGCGGCACCACGTGAGCGCCTCTAGACCCGTACACGTCGACTAACACGCCGCCGTACGGCCCGTCCAGCAGGACTTCCATCACCACACTCCTGCCGAGCTCGGCCCTGTCCGCGAGTCGCAGCAGCTGGCGGGCCAGTCGCCCGCCACTTTGATGTGATATATATTGCTCGAACATGGACCAGAGCGGGAAAGAAGACGACAATGTCGCTAATCTTGCGGAGAGTTGGCCATTCGGATGGGTCCGGATACGGATCACGTCTTCTGGGCAATCCGGACGGATAATGCCGAAAAATAAAGCCGATTTTGCCGATTTTGCCGAATTGCCGATCGGCAAAAAAAGGGATATTGCCGATTTTGCCGATAAAGCCGCGGCAAAATCCAACCCTGATCACGGGGGAGTATGGAAAAATATTTGGTTGTGTGAGGCGGCGAGTGGCGCGAATGATGCAAGTGGCATCATCGTGCAGCACGTGCGTGCTGCACATCCCAATGAATCCAGTGATCGGGTGCGGGGAAGCAAGGAGGGTCGCTCAATCAAAAATTTGCCCTGTTGGGAGCAGGCGGGGATCGAATCTACTCTGTTGGGAGTAGCGAGTCGAGTGGACGAGCGTAAAGGTTGCGTGCGTGCTGACGGGGAATCCGGTGTGTGTGTGAGTGGAAGGCAGGTGTAGGCTGTACGAGCAAGTGGCTAAGGCAGTTTAATGTTGATAATCAAGTGGGAGAGAGCACAAGTGGTGGACGTTCCGGCGCAGGATCAAGTGGATCATGTCGGCCAGTACTGTGTATTGTTCAATCTAGAAGTCAAACTTCTTGACAAAGCGTACGGCGTAGTGCAGCACTGTAAAGCAACGACCCGCCCTACGGCCGGACGAGATAATTGGCCGGTTACACAGCGTTCTTCGACTGTTAAATTAAATTCTAAATCCTTCACATTATGTTTTTTTTGTCGAGTAAACTGATATAGAGTTGGAAACGAATCGCCCAATCATTTAGCAATTCAGATGTTCATGCTATTAATTAGAAAAATATCACAAAACTTGTGGTGGAGTCATGGCTGTAGCAGCAAGTACAGACAACGACGGTGAAAGTCACCCCCCGTAGATATTTATTTTCAATACAAAATGAGAAAGGCCAACAAGACAATTAAAAACTGTGCCCTTGCGCGGTATCACCTGCGATTGGTCAAAATGAAATAAAACAAAAGAGTAAAAAAAAGAAAAAAAAGGAAAACAAAACGAATGTACATGTATGTTTTTGATCAACACCATCACTACAGTCGTAGACTTGTTCTCCCAAGCTAAATACGATTTTCGTCTTTGCTCCCTGTCTTTTTGTCGTTTTGCTTGTCTGGGCGCCCTTGAACTCAAACAGCAGATTTGCCTTTTTCCTCTATTCTTTTGGTCTACTCAATGGAATTTTAAGCGCCCGAGAGGTAGGCTTACATCCCTCCAGTGCCCCCTGCTCTAGCGCTTCCAGCCTCTCTTTGACGGTGTAATTGTTTTGGCGACGAGATGCATCCATCGTCTCACAGCCATAACGCTCAGGCGTGCTGTCCAGCAATTTATGTAATTGGTTTAAATTAAAGCAGCCCATTTTTGTTTTTGTTGTACTTGAGTCCAAATTTGCACGTCGAGTTTTTGTGTGTGTGTGTGGTGGGGGGGGTTGCTTCACCGTCGTTGTCTGTATCAACAATATTCACCTTCTAATCCAATTTAAAACGCCCTCCTTCCGTTTCACTGGCACAGCTTGAAAAGATCGACATGTTGGCATGTAGGAGCTTGCGTTCTCGAATATTTTTTGTAAAACCAGGGACGATCTCTGCTCTGATAGGTTCTTTAGGAAAGACCACGCTTATGGATGTTATTGCTGGCAGGAAGACGGGCGGACAGATCCGTGGAGACATCCTGCTTAACGGATAACCTTGCTATTCGTGCAGATGGACGTCGGAGGCTACATTCCGCGACGTTTAGGTCCTGGTTCAGGTAGAGAACTGTGTTCTGTGCTTCAGAATGGGTTAGGGCTTTCTGTTTGCCTTATTTTGTGCTTCCAGTTTTGATAATCTGTGCTGTGGTTGTCCAAGTAAATTCTCCCTTCTTGGCAGCTATTGACTGCATCATTTATCAATTCCCCGCCCGAAGTACACTACAATGTCGAACAGCTGTGCGTGCTATCTACTGATGTAGGGGGAACGGCATCATAGGCGGACCTCACCAACCACTGCTTGAACTTAAGTGCTATTTCTCATGTGCCACGCGACCCCTGTCGCTGCCTAGCGCAATGCACAGGTGCGAGCTTTCCGACCTCCCGGACTGGAATCCATGCGACCAGTCTTGCAGGGTAAAAACTGCCTTTCATTTCCCTAGCACAATTGTTCTCTCGCTAGAACACCTCTGGCTGGTGTTTTGAAAAACTGACACGAACGAGCAAAACATATGCAGGAGTGCCGTAACTCTTAGCCAATCAAATTGCTTAAAGTATTCGGCACATAACGCGTTCTCCACTTGAAAAAGGCCTTAGTGCCTTGCTTCGTCAAGGTGCTGAGATGCCGGATGCCCAGAAATACGACTCCGTGAATGAATCTCTCGACTTGCTTGACCTCGATCCCATCGACGACCTAATCATTCAAGGCAGCCTCACCGAGCAGATGAAACGCAGCCCGTTTTTTTCGAGGAGAAAAGGTACAATACGTGTTTAAAACACACCGCGAGTCGGCTCAAGTGAAATGTTGTTTAAACAGAGACCGCAACATTAAATGTTGCAGTGAAAAATTCTCGTTGATGTATCCTTCGCTTTCGGCTACGAGAACTCTCAACTCAATTAACGTCTTTTTACTAATAGATCTACAGCAAGAGTACAACATGACGCAGTTGCCGTATTTCATGCAACAGTGCCTACGTTAAAATGCTGATTTTTTATTGTGTTGTTATGGCGATCACGTGATTGATATCCGCTATTTCGTTTGACGAAATCAAAATGTTATATCTCGACCTCAACAAATGGACATGTTGCTTGTTCTGGACTAGACATTTGGTCTATGTGAGCAGTGGACATCTTAAACGTGCTCCTTAGTGATCATCGCGGGTTTTTGTTCGGCCTGTACGCCTCGTGTAATTTGGCCAGCGCAGTCTGGTACTCTTGCAGGAGTTGCTTGTCCAGGGTAAGAAAATAACTCACGTCAGCGGCGGCTTTTCCAAGATCAATGTCGTATTTTTTAGCCAACGAGTTGACTCGCTCGAAAGGGGCGTGCCTTTCTTCTTCGGCAGCAGTCGTGTCGTGAGAAGCGTGAGCTCGAAGTAGCCGTTGGGCTGAATCACTTGGAAGAGCAGTGTTGGAGGTCGAGGCGGCGTTAGAGTTCGACAGAGCGTTGCTGGTAGCCAGCAAGGCGGCTGCGATCATCAGGAGAGCTCGAGATAGGTGCATGATATCGGTGGCTTATAAACTGAAGAGCAAATTCTGAAGTGAGCCCTAAGCCGCTGATAATGTAGCTGGATGCATTGCTGGCCTCTATCATGCCATCTATCGCAGGCTATGAATACAGTATAAGTATTCATGAGAGACGTGCTTTACATGTTACTTGTGGTGGTGTTGCACTGGCGACGATATGACAGATCCCAGATGTTATCGTGATCACTCGGCACGTGATAAAGCTTATTTGTTGGTGTAATAGTGTACGTACACGCCGTACACTGTACAGCCAGCGACATATACAGTACAGTAATGGTAAAAAAGAATTAGGTACTCCTATTGCGCTTTCTTACACGACTTAACTAATACAAAATGCTGTATATGCCAGTACATCTTAGTCTGGCTGAGCTTCTTACAAGTGCATCATCGGAGGTAGCTAACCGTCTTAACCGTAACTACAAGGGTTAAAAGAATGCAAAAGATCCAGCTCTATTCTGCGTTCAATTCGCTCTTGTATCGCATGGAAATATGATGAAGCTGATGAACCCGTTGAATAAGAACGTGCACCAGTATTTGCTTGTCTTGAATTAAATTTGGTTTTGGCGATTTGGTTTGATCGTTATTCTTTAGAAAGCTTACTATTTCTGACGCTGCATTCTACAACAAGGGTGCTCAGAATTGAGGGAAGCCCTACCAGACTAAGATGCATTGAAATATTTATATTTAGACAAGAAACATAGCAGGAATATGTACTTATTTCAACATAACTGTAGTTTATTGCTGACCGTACAGTGAAGGACGCACAACGTCAACACAACAGAAATTGCTGACTTCATCACGTGCCAAGCGATCACAATGCATCTCACGCCTTTGTTCTCGCCCAGGATAAAGCACTCTCATATTGTGTGTTTGCGAGTATTTTATCGTATGATTTAGGACCCTATACAGTCGTGCACCTCCAATTCGGCACCGGTATCAGTCGATACCCTGCCAGATTTTATGATTACTGGAATCGGATGCGCAATTACCTTTGCCCATTACCACCCTAGCAATTAACCTCAACGGTTTTCCCCTCCTCGCGGAGGGATGACACGCCGCATCGATCTGATTTTTAAATTTGAGAGTGGCTGGAGAACCCAACTGAGGCCTACCCCACTAGTTCATCCGTCCAGCGTATAGTGTATAGTACGATCCCCCCTCCTCACCATTAATTCATTCGAGCAGGAATACGAGCCATGGAGAGCGACCGCGACTGCGGCGTAGCGCAGCATGCGATCAACGCGTCACGACGATAACACGCCCTGCATCGCGCGACTTACGGGCCAAAGCAGTCGGGAACCAGCCTGCCAAGAACTTGCGCGTCAGGGAGGTCTTGTGATCCCCCGTGTCATCCAGCGACGAAGTCAGCGAGAATTTGGATGAGTGTTCATTTAACAACAGCGACGAGGAGTGGGTAAGAACATCATCAGATGCCTCTTCCAACTGAGTGGGACATCTTTGTGGAGAACGAAGAAGCGTTCAGTGGACTGCTTCCACTTGGGCTGGATTGGGCTCAGATTGGGCTCGTTTGTTCTCTGTTTGGTCGCGGTCTGGCACAGTTGGGGCGAGTTGGGGCAAATGCCCCGTCTCATAATTTCCCAGTTGGGCTCTCCAGCACGTGCCTTTAAATTTTGGATCGGACGTCTTCATACAAACACACACTTCGTATCCGTATAGAATCGTGAGACGCTGGGTGGCGAGAACAAAGGCGTGAGATGCATTGTGATCGCTTGGCACGTGATGAAGTCAGCAATTTCTGTTGTGTTGACGTTGTGCGTCCTTCACTGTACGGTCAGCAATAAACTACAGTTATGTTGAAATAAGTACATATTCCTGCTATGTTTCTTGTCTAAATATAAATATTTCAATGCATCTTAGTCTGGTAGGGCTTCCCTCAATTCTGAGCACCCTTGTTGTAGAATGCAGCGTCAGAAATAGTAAGCTTTCTAAAGAATAACGATCAAACCAAATCGCCAAAACCAAATTTAATTCAAGACAAGCAAATACTGGTGCACGTTCTTATTCAACGGGTTCATCAGCTTCATCATATTTCCATGCGATACAAGAGCGAATTGAACGCAGAATAGAGCTGGATCTTTGCATTCTTTTAACCCTTGTAGTTACGGTTAAGACGGTTAGCTACCTCCGATGATGCACTTGTAAGAAGCTCAGCCAGACTAAGATGTACTGGCATATACAGCATTTTGTATTAGTTAAGTCGTGTAAGAAAGCGCAATAGGAGTACCTAATTCTTTTTTACCATTACTGTACTGTATATGTCGCTGGCTGTACAGTGTACGGCGTGTACGTACACTATTACACCAACAAATAAGCTTTATCACGTGCCGAGTGATCACGATAACATTTGGGATCTGTCATATCGTCGCCAGTGCAACACCACCACAAGTAACATGTAAAGCACGTCTCTCATGAATACTTATACTGTATTCATAGCCTGCGATAGATGGCATGATAGAGGCCAGCAATGCATCCAGCTACATTATCAGCGGCTTAGGGCTCACTTCAGAATTTGCTCTTCAGTTTATAAGCCACCGATATCATGCACCTATCTCGAGCTCTCCTGATGATCGCAGCCGCCTTGCTGGCTACCAGCAACGCTCTGTCGAACTCTAACGCCGCCTCGACCTCCAACACTGCTCTTCCAAGTGATTCGGTCCAACGGCTACTTCGAGCTCACGCTGCTTACGACCCGGCCAAGAAACTCCTGGAAACGTACCACACTGCTGAACAAAATACACAAGGCGTACAGGAAGAAAAACCCCTAGATGGTCGCTAAGGATCGCTTCTAAGATGTCCACTGCTCGCATATACCAAATATCTAGCCCAGAACAAGCAACATGTTCATTCGTTTAGGTCGAGGTATAACCTTTTTGATTTCGTCAAACGATATGGCGGATACCTATTACGTGATCGCCATAACAGCACAGTAAAAATATTCAGCATTTTTTAACGTAGGCACTGTTACGTGAAATACGGCAACTACGTCATGCTGTACACTTACCGTATATCTATTAGTAAAAAGACGTCAATTGAGTTGAGAGTTCTCGTAGCCGAAATCTAAGGATACATCAGGCTACTTCAACAGGCGAATCCTGAGTGGGTACACCAAAAAGACGACAATTCTGCATTTTTATACAAAGCTAGTTTACCTAGCACAGCGGATGTGCGTACTTTAGCTGCGCACTTAATTTTAAAACGAACTTAGCAAAAGCTGGGCTACTCACTACAGTGCTGGCGGTTAGTAAACTGCCACCCTTGTTTTTCGATAGATTTTATCCAATGCGAGGTTTTTCTGCACGTTCTTGGGACCAATGAAAAACGCGCAGTAAACCGAAGCGGACGCCACTCGATTCAGGTAAATCGGCCATTTCCTCCCCCCACCACAGAAAAAAACGCCTCCCTTGCTTGAGGAGGCTGGCGGTTAGTATACTGCCGGTGCGTACTTTGCAGTCAAGGACGCGTTGTTTTGGCGTGTCCTTCTAATATAATGATGCCCAGCACCATACAAGTGTACTAACATACGTTTGTGCATGTAAAGGTACTACTAGCATGCCTAGAGGAACCAAGCTCACCCAAGAAGAGCAGCATCGTATAATAGCATTTCGCGAGGCAGGGCTAAGCGAGCGAGCAATAGCGCAGCGCGTACGTCGCTCTCGACCAGTTGTACACGCACTCCTAACCGATCCAAAAGGCTACACGAAATCTAAAAGACCCGGACAACCCAAGAAGTTGACACCGACAGCTCACCGCCGACTGCTCCGTGAAGCTTCGAAAGGCAAGCTGAGCTCTGCGGAGCTCAAAATGGCCTTAGAGCTACCGGTAAGTACACGGAGGATCCGTGAAATCCTACAAGCCGACCCTAACATGAAATATAAAAAGCGTAAAGCTTCCCCCGTGCTAACAAAGAAGCACAAGGAGGCTCGTCTCAAATGGGCTCGTGACAAGGTGACATGGAGTGAGGAAAAATGGGGAGCCTGCGTCTTTTCAGATGAAAAGAAGTTCAATCTCGATGGACCGGATTGTATGCAGTACTATTGGCACGATTTACGCCGCGAGCCTGAAGTCTACTATACTCGCCAAAGTGGTGGTGGGAGTGTCATGGTCTGGGCTGCATTTTGTGCTAGTGGTAAGTCTGAGCTGGTGATTTTGGAGGGCAATCAGAACAGCGATATCTCCACCGGAAGTCCTAACAAATCGCTGGTCAAGCCTCATGTGGCCGGACGTTGTATCTCCACCGTGTATCTCCACCGGAAGTCCTAACAAATCGCTGGTCAAGCCTCATGTGGCCGGACGTTGTGATCCACGCATCATGTACCGCATCAATAGGTGCCACATTATTTTATTCTACTATCATATCAATTTCATATTTTTAATTAATTAATTTGTCTAAAGCTTATGATCTGGTGAATTTGTGTCATCTAGGCAAAAGCGGAGCGCCACAGTGGGTGGTCAGAGGATATGCAACTAATGCTGTCAAACTCTTTACAGCTCATACGCACATTTTTTCCACAAGAAGTATGTGTCGACCTTCCCGAGATCACGAACATTAGGCATAAACGGCTTTATTTCTTTCAAAAGCGACGACGAAATAGCTCATTTGTGTAAGTAGGTTCTATCACCCAAATACTTTCTGAACTATTTGTAATTTGTAGCGTCACGCCCCCTATTCGCATCTCTTCCTGGACGTGATCCACCCTGCGTGAACGGCAGCTCCGATCGAGATGAGTTACTCGGAGAGACCGCTCAGCTAACACAGCGCTAGTGCTGACGGCCCAGCTTCGTATGCGGATGCACCATTAGCTGCACGGATTGTCCTTAAATTAGAGAACTAGTAAAATTTGGATGACTTCGAGAAAAGTATTTATAAATTGTCATTTCGAGTACATTGTCCAGATTTGAGTCGCAAATTGTTAGCACTTCAAAATGCTGAATCCCGAGTAAGTTGTAACTCCTAGCCGTAGCATGCATAGGTTTGATATACTAAACCAAGTAGTTATCCCCCTCCACATTATACACAAACGCATGTGATACATCCTTAGCGCAAGCATCACATCGGAATAGTATGCGAGCTGTCGTGTACCACCACGTACGCTAGAATATAGTTATTAGCGCCTACAGAAAGCATATCTTCACGGCTTTTTCATTCGAGAGCCTCACAGGCCACATGGATTTATATTCTCTCTCAGCCCACGGACCACTCGGGTTTCACCTTTGCCATCATCTCCTGCAGCAAACTCTCGTAGGCAGTTCCAGTGTCGTGGCCTCACCGGAAACCGTACAAACAGGTTGTTCTAGTTGTCAATAAACATTTCGCGTGTGTGCCAATCCAAACTATGCGAATTCTTCTGTTTGAGGTGTTTTTCTAATATTAACGAGTAGCTGTTGTCCGAGTAGTCGTGTACCAAGCTAGACCTGGCAAACTCTGCTGTATTGAGCTGTGGTTTCTCGTGCTCTCGCATCGTTTCTTACGCGGACGGCAGCTACTACAAGATCTTTCTCTACGCGTGCGCGATGTTGGAGCTGGTTCTGCCGGATTGTTGGTGGCACATTGGCGGTGATTTTGTTTCTCTTTCAGGCGGCAACGCTGCCCGCGGTGGTTGAAAGCGGTAGCGGAGGGTACAAATTTGTATACACGTTTTGAGCGTGCATCCACTTGCCGTTTTAATTTGGGCGTGCGGAGCATTATAATGTGCGCTTGGGTGATCGTTGATGGAAATTGTGTCGTACTCACTGTTGGCGGTGTACTGGATGGCACGGTTTCTAGGGCTGGGTCATTGCTACTGTATTTTGAAGTTGGAGAGTGGGACGTTTTCGTGCCCGGAGCGTTGTTGCTGCTGATAGCTTTCAGCCCTGACAAATGGACCAAAATCGTAACCATAGCGAAAACTTGTATCATCTTGCTAATATCGGTCATCTTTCACAGCGCTGCAAGCAATTGGATCTGAAGTTCATGCTCTCGGGAAGTGCTCACCACAAGGATTAGTTCGTACAAAGCGAACCATTTTTCTAGCGTTAGTGACTGGAGACTTGGAATTGTTGGGACCCTCGTGCCTGGCAGACATACTGACGAAACTCCACCGCTTGATTTTTTATGGTGGTTGGCGTTCGACGGTATCACAATGTTGTACATAATGATCGTTTAGCTATGGTACCGGCTTCCCACTTTTGTCAATCGATTCTTGTTCCCACTGCACCTGCCTACACACGGCGTCATTCTCGCTCGCGAAACCAACCGAAACTTCGTAACCCAGCCCATTCAGGCCCATCGAGTTAAGCAACGCAGCTGAAGACTGCTGGACACCCTCGAAGAGGGCAATCTGCTTCGCCAAAAGCTCTCCGATCGTGGTGCTGTGTTGGCGAGCGCCATGTTTGAGGGAGCACGAGTTTGTACACATGTTTCGCGAAATATAGGCTTCCGCTAGTTTCGCGAACATGTGTACAAACTCGTGCTCCCTCAAACATTTGCTTCGCTCCGCGAAACCAAAGTAATGTGTTGTAGTCGAAGGGTACGTTGGTTGGCACAGAGGCCTGACCATGCGACGGCTGACGAATGCAAGCTGCGGTGGCTCTGCGCGCCGGCATATAGTTTATATCTGAGCTAACTTCAAGATCTCAGCATGTTGAAAAGATGAATTTTGGCAAAAAGATCGAGTCAACCTTGCAAACTAAAAAAGACGAGGATGCGTAGACCAGCTGCAGTGAACACAGCTCGAGCGAGTGCCTTTTTCAGTGCGGACTGGAAGCCTTCCGGCTGGCTGACTTACACGATACCAACATCGTTACCGCCGCCTTCACTGTAACGTTGCTCTCAGCGTACAAGTCTCCCCTCTTGATCTACCTCAAATGGATTCCTTTTCAATCCTTCTGGCTACAATATATGTCGCTATATCCTACTGATTCGAGTGCACTTGCAAATCACGCTTCCATTTCTTCTGGTGGAACCAACGCCCAGTCCACTTTATACATTGCTTTGTACTCTGCTTCGACAGAGGTGCTTTCTCTGTTTTGCCGTTACGTTATCTGCGAGACGCTAAATCAAATGGAACAACTCTTGATGACCGTTTGAAGAGCTACAAAGCCCATCAGCAGCCAAACTGCAAATAACGTTCGCATTGTTGCTAGCGAGGAACCACGGGTCACGCTTACAACATTTAAATAAGTGAACATACGTAGTGCATTTTCCACTTCAAGACTGCCCATAATCTGCGCGAGCAGCATTGTACAGATACTGTAGCCATTCTGCCGAAAACGTTTCAGGTCACACCGGCGCTTGTAGCAAAAACAATTGGTCCACTGATGGCGGCATCGGTACCGAATATAATGGGTTCGATAGCTGTAGTTGTGCGCAAAGAGCCATAGAGCTATTAGTACCACCTTTTCCGTCGACGTTGAATGCTTTCCATCGTGCGCCATTTCCATTAGAACTTAAAACTCCAAATATTTTCGTCAGAAATTGGGTAAGTGCGTACGTAGCCGAGCGTTACGTTGAATGCAGGCCGGTGAAAAAAATCTTCTTGGAGCGCCTCTGGATAAGACGACTGACCTCTTGCTGCTCTAAGCGGAGATCCGCATTCTGCGTCTCTACTTCTATTGCATATATTGCCTTCATTTGATCTCAACTGAACTTATAAACATATACACATCGAGGTGTCAGAATATGAGGTGCGGGCATACCAGGGCCTCTCGCCCTTAACATATCCTATAAACCTGTCGTTTAAATACAGCTTGTTTAAAAAATGCACGGTATTTTGAAGTGCGCTTTGACCACTGGGATTG